GGCGTGTGGGATTGTGAGACGTCGGGGCTCCCACGTTTTCTAGACAATCGGCTCTCAATTGGCGGTGAGGTTGTCAGCCTTACGGGACGGCCGCCCTTTGTCCCCCAGGAATCTTCGTGGTACTCATTTCTGTAAGAGGCTGAGTAGAACCCAGAGCCATAGTGCGGCTGGAAGAATTAGGTCAATTGAAAAAAATTAATGATATCATCGCGAATCGGAACCCGCGACCTTCCGGCTTGTAGCATAGTGCCTCAACCAACTCCGCTGCCGCGTGCCCCCCTAAAAAGGATTAAATGCAAAGGATATTCATAAAGAAATATTTTCTGTTTGCGGTGGGAAGTGTTCGTCGCTTAAAGCGGTTCACAAATGGGTCAAGAAATTATCTCAAAGACATTCGAAAGTCGCAGATGATGAAATAGAGGTGCGGAAGTGGCTGGGACAACAGACAAACGACTTCTATGCTGCGGATTTCGACACAATGGTAAAGCGAACGGATAAGTGTATAAATGTTGGTGGAGGATACGTCGAGAAACAAACGTTGTCCCAGGTTCGAATATCACAAGTTTCACGTTTTATATCAATTTGTTATCCATTTACTGACTCTCCCTCGTATTAATCTGCTGATCAGCGAAAATTATTTAAGATTTTTGTAATGTTTTATTATACTACTTTACGTTAAGTAGGAAGTAATCCCTATGTTGTAATTGGACTGAAGTACGTACGCAGTTACATAATACACAATTTACTCTGACACAGTGCATTTTGATCTTGGCGTTCGGGTCTGCAAAGAATACAAGGTTGGAGCCAAAGATTTTATAAATGTGCAAGTTTAAAACACGTGGGAGACTAATGCTCCCTGAAACTGATTCAGCTGACAGTCTTTGACATGGGTTCCACCATTATTGACTTAGGCACTAGATACAGGTGAGTGGTCAGCTTCATGCTTCGACCGATTTACACCCAAGGATTAAGTCCCCCGTATATATTGGATAAAAGTCTGGGTGGGTCTCACAGTCGACCTGGACGTTATCGTGTATCCCATAAAGTTCTAGAGTTCCTTTTTTATATTTACTTTAATTACTTCCTTTACTATGATTACTATGTGGGGCACGCGGTAGCGTAATTGATTGAGGAACTGCGGCTACAAGCTTCAAGGTCGCGGGTTCTATTTCCGATGAGGTCACTGGAATTTTCTATTGACCTAATCAATCCAGCAGCATTATGGCCCTGGTTTCGACTCAGAGTCTAACAGAAATGAGTACCAAGAATCTTCCTGGGGGTAAAGAATGACCGGCACGTAAGGCTGACAACCTCACCGCCATCTGTGAGTTTATTTTCTAGAAAATATGGGATCCACGACGTCTCACAAGCCTATGGGCCTCCACGGCCTGTTACACGGATCGCTTTACCTTTTTTAATTATTACTATTTTTTATTTAATACGATTATACGTCTCATTAGAGAGTATCAGATTTCGACAGCAGCGCTAGTGTCCTTTCACCTCATAAATTCGTGCGTCTATTACATTATTAGCTGTTATAGGAAATTAAAAAAAAAAAACTATTTTTGAGTGACCTCCAATGGCATAACCAACAGTCTTTTTAGATGTGGTCCTTGGGTGCTTGTGAAGAGACGTCAGGCAATTAGGGGGACAGTGGTTGCACTGCAGTGTTGGAGGGAAGGTATATGATGCGCTGTAACTACGCCCCTCTTAGAACCCATACACTCCTTACAATCTTTATCGCAATCAGTGGTCTCGAACAATCCACTGCGCATGCTCTTGAGAACCTGCCAGGTGTAAAAGCGAGTACAGGGACAGTGCACAAAAAATTTCACCCTAAATCCGTGAAGTGGTTCTCGGTTTAAAATATGAGGATGCAAACAGACAGATGAGCGTGCAGGTATGTCCACCCATATATGAATTCTCTACAGCATACAATAAACCTGTAAATTCCGTGGCCTTTAGTCCGCAAGCGAACTATACCGATCGAGTGATCGCCGCTTGTCTGCGAAGTTACTGCCAACTTCTGCGGATAGAGGGCGTCGCGTGGTCAGCACAACGAATCCCCACGGCCGTTAATCTCGGTTTTCTAGACCGGAGCCGCTATTTCCTTAAAATAGCTCCTCAATTATCACGAGGCTGAGTGGACCCTATTCCAGACCCACTACTTCTCAGAGAAAAA